CCCACCCCAGGGAGGGGGCCACACTGTCCTCTGCAGCTCTCTGAGCCTCTTCCCAGACACCAAGCATTGATGAGCAGAAGGGGACAACGGCCACAAGTCAGATGATGAGGAAATGCTGAAAGCTGCACACACAGACCCTGGTGACAAGCACCCACCAACTCTGCACCCTCCTCACTGGCTGGAGCTTCCTGAGTCACCCTTGGCAAGATGTCTGCAGGACCTACCATACAAGTCTGCGGAGTCTGATTTTTTTTTTTCCTCAAGTAGGCTCCACACCCAGCGTGGAGCCCCATGCAGCGCTTGAACCCATGACCCTGACATCAAGACCTGAATTGAGGTCAAGTTTCAGACATTTAACCGACTGAGCCACCCAGGCACCCCAGGAGTTTGAATTTTTGAGGGTGGGGACAAGACAAACCTAAATAAGGCTTATAAAGAACCCCTGCAGGTCTAAAAATCCAACTGTTTGAAAGCTGCCCGGAGGTTGGGAGCACACAACCTCTGGAGTGTGCTTCCTCAGTGCCATGGGATTTTTGCCTTTGGGAAATTCTTTCTTAATTTTTGGAACATGTTAAGCCTAAATCTACCATCTTAAAACTTCCGTCCATTTGATCTAATTTTTTTGTCTTCTGGGGCTGCCTAATGACCCATCCCCACCTGGAAACACTTCTTTCTCTTCTACAGCTTGACTATATAAACACCTGAAGCCAGCTGCCCTATCTCTCCTCAGGTCAAAACAGCAATTCCTCGTACCCAAATTCAGTACTTAATTTGGGTAACTTTTACAAGGTGGTGCATGGCAGTGGACGTGACCCTCCCAATGAACCTGACAGGTGTGGGACACTACCTCCTGGACATGCTGGCCAAACTGGGCTGAGTTCCACGCAACCCCAGTTCATGCCCAGCCTGGTCACTGCACACAAATCACCGCCTTAGCAGGTCTCCTCATTGCGGTTCTTGTGCAATTGATTTTTTTTTTAACCTGGGGTGGGGGTGGGGTGTGCTGTCTGTTTCCACCCATCACCTTTCATCTCCTGGTTCCAGTAGGATGTTCTAGCTGTAGAGGAGATGCAGGGTATTGATTCTGTCATTCAGCACATCAGCTCTCCCTAATGGCTCTGTGTCATCTGCAAATTTGATAAGTGTACCTCTGATGTCTTTATCAAGGCACTGGTTCCACTGTTCAGCAAGCCAGGGGGCAGCAGTCCACTAGGGGCCCCCTCCTGGGATGACATGAAGCCATTCATTTATCCACACTGCGGGGCAACCGGTGCTCTATCAATTGTGAATCCACCTTCCTCCCAGAGATTTTCCAAACCTTGGAACTAGCAGCAGCAGAAGCACCTTTAAGAGCTGGTGTGTGAGAGAGGAGCGGGGGCTGCTCTGGTTGAAGCAGGAAGATGTTTCTTGTACCTATACTCTGCCCCAAGGCAGCAGCATGGAAGAGAAGCAGAAAAGCCTGGGTCTGCCGACCAACTGACCACTTGTATGTAACAGGCTGACTTGCAAGTTGAGGCCAGCCTGTCAGACAGATGGGGAGATGGGACCATGCCTCAGCCCCAAGGCCAGTCCTTGCTGATCAGGGTGCATGAAGCAGACAGGTAGAGGGTGGAGCAGCACTGATACCCAGGGAGAAAGGTGGCATGCCCTTCTCACTGGGAAGTGGTCAGGAAAGTTGTGCAGAGATGTATGCAGGTGAGGTGAAGAATCATTGAATGAGGAAGAGCTCTGCCGAGATGGTCATCCTGCCTTTTGCCACGAACTTTATCAAACATTTCGTTTGATTCCCTGGATACAGCCAAAGGGGCTCCCTCACCTCTCTAGGGGCCCGGCCATTCTGAAAGGACAACCCCAGAGCTGGCATTCTCTGCAGCAAGAGAGGAAGGAAACAGGCAGAAAGCACTTGTTCCCAGGGCTGACACTTGCCTCTGAAAGGAGAGGGCAGTTCTGCTAGGACTCATCTACTCTGAAAAAGTCCACCTACTGAGCCTTTTGCCTGAAATAAGCTGGGGATAACAACTCTCCAAAAAAATGGCATGGAATTCTTTGAAATATGAGTGACAACGTGAGAAATGGAGGCAGAACACGTTTTTAACTTTTGAGACAAAAGCTTGAGTTCAAGCAGGCAACAAGGTCTGCTGCTGGCCCTTCTGTTGGTCCCTTGCAATCTGCAGAGGGATATGCTGGGAAAGGGGCCTGTAGTCCCTTGCTCGGAACAAGCAGGCCAGTCCTCCTGGCCACCTCCAAATCTGGTCAGTAGAGGGCACTGCATCACCACACTCTCTCTCCAACCCCTGCTTTGCCACCGGATCCTTGCATTCACACAAAAGACCACACTTGGAAGTATTTCTAATGCTTATGCTCTAATCAGAGAAGGACCCAAGGAGTGCTTAGGGATTCACGCGTCATCAGGGGCAGGGAAGCTGCAGCAGAGGGTCCTAGGCTGTTGGAGAAGCATTTGCTGCAAGACTGAATGCATGCCTGGATCTGGATGGAGCGCTTAGGAGGTAACAGGAACTGGACACGGTTCCTGACCTCAAGGAGTTCATGATGTGACCAAAACCCAAGGTGAAGGCATTATGGCTGGGAAGAAGCATTCAGAGAGGAAAACCCAGCCCCAAGGTGTTCAGGGAAGGCTTCCTGGAAGAGGAGGCATTTGAGCTGACATCTAAGGCAGGTGATTTGACACACTGTTCCACAGGTGTCCACATGAGCAAAGGCACAGAAACATGAAAAAGGAAGGGCAGAAGAGACAACCAGTTGAGCTTAAAATCTGAAACTTAGGAATGGGGGAGAGAAGAGGTCTTGGGGGCTGAATTTGGAAGCCTATACCCTATGGGCCCACAGCAGACCCCCACACAGGATAACAAGCAGCTCACCACCAAAGAGAAAGCGCTCCAATTCCTCTGCTGGAAAGAAGGCAGACCTCAAGCTTCAAGAAAGTAAGATGCTCATCATTTCATAAACCTTCAGTGTAAATTGAGTGAAACATCAGCACTTCATTTTTAAAAGTCAAAGGTACTGAGTAGGTAAACAATACAAAAAGCAAAGATGTCAAACCTCCCCCAAGGCATTAGGAGGGCTCACAGAGATGTGCATGCCACCTGGAAATTATTGCCCAGTAATGGGAGAGGAGAGCTTGGGGCAGACAAGTGGTGTTTACTGGGAAGCATTAGTGTGACATTTGATGATCCTACTGCATACTGTTGGACTTAACTCAATCACGTGGGAATACATTTTATATGGACAATTTTAACATGTATTTCATTTGGCAAGTAAAGCAAAACTGATCCAATTCCCTTGGAGCCATTATAAACCACAAACTGTACAAGTTTTGCATAAAATATATAAACCTTACAAACCCCTTGTTCTGACACACTACCTTCCATTCTGCCCAGCTCCCTGTGGCCTGTGTTCTAGGGCCCTCTGGCTGACTGGCAAGCTTCTGAGGAAGTTGCTCTTCCTGCTTTAACAGGGAGAATCAGTGCTCTTTATCCAACACAAAGTTATAACCTGCCTGGAGGTGGGGCCCACATCTAGGCCCTTCCAGGCCATGTGATGTCAATGGGAAGCAGCTGTGACCACTCTGAGGCTATGGTTTGAGCTGGCCCCTAGCACAGCTAACAGTGACAGCAGCTGTGCTGGTGCCCTGGGTATTGAGAAAGGAACATGAAAATGCTGAGTTGAGCAGTGGCAAGCCTTGTACTCTGAAACTGGAGACACTCCACTGCTCAGTCTGACTCTGGGGAGCTCAGTGGCTCTTCCTACCAAAGTGAGACTAACAACTACTTGTCAAGTTTCAGGAGACTCAGGGTAGTCAAGTTGAAGTATCATTCTGGGTTGGTGGAAACTGTCACGAGAAAGACCAGACTGTCTTTATGGGGTATGTCCCAAAGGACAGAGTCCTCTGAGTTGCTGGCTCACGACAGTGGCACTCTTCTAAGGTGGGGGCATACCCTCAATTAGAGGAGCAGCCCGAAGAGAATCTGTGGCTTCCCCACCCTCTCCTCTACACTTCCTGGTGCCCGGGAGGAGCTCCACAGTCTATTCCTGACAGACATTGTTCATCTTTCTTTATCCACGTGGAAGCTTTCAGACTCATCTCATGTATGTGATATCAGCCCCCAAACAGCACTGCCTTACCAATTCTTGTTTTATTTACTTTTGTAATCCATTTTTCAAATTTAATCCCTTATTGTTGTTTGTTTCTTGCCCTCAAATAATTCAGTACTAGTAAGGCAGTGGATATTTTTTATTATTGAACTATAGTTGACATATAATGTTGTATTAGTTTCAGGTGCACAACATAAGAAATCAACAATTCCCGACATTATGCAATGCTCACCATGATAAGTACTGAGAGGTAAGAGGTTCTTTTTATTTGAAAAGATTCTATTTATCACCTGCTTTTTTGCAGAGACCATTACTACCTCTATTAAAACTGAAATCAGATGCAGAGTGACCAGTTTGCTCACCCAAATTTCTTTGTGGAATTACTGAAACCAACATCTCCTGAAAACCTTCTCACAATTCTCTCAAACCCAAACTACCCATTTCTTGGTCTGTGGCTCCCTGGGAAAAAAAAAATGATATGAAAATGAACAAAATTACTTACCAGCCCTCCAATGAGCTATTGACCAAGGCAGAGAAGGAACTCTACCTTCTTATGGCCAGAGTTCCCAACCACATGGCTACAAATCATGTGTTTGTGTGCAGCTATGAACTCTTTAGAATAAACTGCAAGCCAATTTAAAGTTGCATATTCTGCTGTCTTTGGAGCCTGCAGAATACATACAAGACAGAATACAGAATGGCCTTCACATTCAAGTAATGCAAATATTTCTAATTGGATTTTTTAAAAATCTCCTCTAGTGGTGTATTGCTTCTGCAGTTTACAGTAGATAGGAGGTGAGGGTGTTTTAAAATGTTCTGCAGTGAGACTCAAGACCACATCACTGTGACATGCATAGCAGCACAAGACACCACTGATGAGGCCTCACCTGGGGAGGTTGGGGGCTGGGGTGGAAGCAGCTGATGACTGGGAAGGTGTTGTGGGTTGAGATGAGTCATGATTCCTTGGTACTTTGCCCATTCGATACCAGATCCCCATGCTGTTCAGTTCCCTATAGGAGAAAAGAGAAATATTCACGGTGCGGTTCAACACAAAGCATTTACCTGAGCAATAAAGCAAACCAACTCATTCAAAAGAATCAGAGCCTCAAACACCAAGGAGTCGACTCTTGCCCACCAAGATCAGTTACATCACCTCCCTTGGTGCTCTGGGTATCAGGGTTCAGAGCCTGAAGGGAAGTCAGCTGCCCCAACAAGGCAGGCTCTCTGATATGCCACTTTACCTACCCTGGAGCCTGCCTTCCTGTATACTACGGACATTTTCCTTGGTACTCAGTCTTCAAAATTCTTTTTATTTTGCCACTTCATTATGGGTAATTATGTAGTAATCCACTTCAAGTACTTTATATGGTTAGGGTGAGACAGGTGGGGAAACAATGGGTGAATGGATGCATGTGTCTGTATTGTTTTTGTTTTTTAAGATTTTATTGATTTGAGAGAGAGAGAGAAAGAGAGAAAGAGAATGAGAGCCCATGAGTGGGGAAGGGAAGGGGCAGGGGGAAAAAGAGAAGAAGGCTCCCCGCTGAGCAGGTTGCCCAACTCAGGGCTGATCGAGGATCATGACCTGAGCAGAAGGCAGATGCTTAACTGACTGAGCCCCCCAGGCACCCCCATGTGCCTGTTTTTGTTTTTGTTTTGTTTTTACCTGTTAGGGGAATTAGCTGCACCCTGCTCAAGGACATGTCCCAACTTCTGGATAAAGCTCCTACTGCCTGGATGTCACCTGCAGTTGGCTTCATTCTTGGGGGCAGCTGAGGAGACCTCTTTGAACCACAAAGCCTGAGGCATGTGCCCCACAGGCCACTACAACCAAGAGTGGTCACAAAAGGGCTTAACAGATGCCACATCAGGTCTCCTGTTCCCTGATGTGCACACTTACCTCACCCTATTAGGAGTGTTTATGAGACAGGTTTGGTCTTAGGAACTGGAATGGGATTATTTTAGCCACATCCAACTTGAAATGTCTCAACTGCCCCATAGAACTGCATCTCATCAAATGATGAGGACATATTTATTCAGTGGAGACTTTTGGTAGCTTCTCAGGAACTATCCTAAACCATGATCATGTCTCATCAGAGGGCTGATTCCCCTCACTCTCTGTTCCATCACACCTCAGCATGGCCACAGGGTCTCAACCTGGGAGAGGCTGCTCTCAGACTCAGATTTGGCTCTTCCAGTGGACAACCCTGAACTCTTGCAGAGTAATGTATGTGCTCATCAAAACAAAACAAAACAAAACAAAAACATTTTATTTATTTTTTCATGAGACACACACAGAGAGAGGCAGAGACACAGGCAGAGGGAGAAGCAGACTCCATGCAGGGAGCCTGATGCAAGACTCGATTCCAGGACCCTGGGATCACAACCTGAGCCAAAGACAGATGCTCAACCACTGAGCCACCAAGGTGTCCCTATATGTGCTCATTCTTATGAAAAAGGTGACTCAGAGTTCTGGAGACTGTTCTTTTTTCCTTCCTTAAAAATAATACTGGAATCGTCTTCTTCTGGAAAGGAATTTTTGCTCTAAGATGATGCAAAATGTGCTTTACTTAGCAATCTTTTCAAAAGATATAAAAAAAAAGATTCTAGTTTTGACTATCAAGACATATGTGGTAACCATCTATTCTTCAGAATTGTTTAAATTGTTATAAATGGAGTGTCTTAAAGCACGATAGCTTATAATTAAAAATACATATAGTAACTGAAATTAGACTTTAAAAATTCATTATTAAATTGTTGGTTTCTACTATTTCTATGTAAATGGCTGCTTCTAGGTACCTGAAGTACAGTCATTCTCTTAACTATTTCCTCTTCCTGTAATCCTGTTTATATAATTAGTTTAAACCATGTTGCAAGACTTTGGAGTGTGTAGGAAGGGGATGATCCCAGAATCCTGAGACACTCAGATTTCACAGCCAAAGAGTCTAAACAAACTATCAAGCACCAGGATGCAAATCATCTGTTTATGTGACACCTGCTCCCCAGGTGCTTCATGCAAACACACCTCTGGGCCATCACCCACAGGGAGAGACCCAAGGAGAAAGGCTCAGTTTGTAGAGTGAAGACCTGGGATCAGGTGAACAAGAAACAAAACAGCACAACCCAGATCCAGAGGCCACTGCAAAAGCCAAGCAGGAGCACACACCCATGGGGACCCATGAGGAGGAGCAGGACATCTGCAGGGCTGGCCAGAGAGAGAGGGATGCTGAAAATCATCTAGGGGATTCATGAGCTTGAGAGATCTGAATTTCAGTTGACTGAATATAATGAATATCTTTTATCTTCTGGATATCCAGCATCCATTTAGCTCTCTTTCTGACTCTCTGCCTTCCTTCCATATTTGGGGGGCAATCAGTGCCTCAGTCTTAGCCCCTTGGTTCCAATGGAGCCAATCCTATTTCCAGCTCAGGCCTGGTTTCTCAGACAATGACACCTTTCCAAGGAGCAGTGATGGGTTCAGGGTCCACAGGACCCCAATGAGATCAATCAAGAACAGTGAGACTGAATTCTAGAACCTGTTTGAATTATGAAGAACATAGACTTGCTCTTTGCCTCAGAAATTGAACTTGGAGGAAAAGTAGGTGGAGCAATTTCACCACCATTAGTCCACTAGGGGAGAACATGTGGAAGAATGGGATCCACCACATAGAATCAGAGCAAGGAGGTAAACAGGGAAACTAGAACCTAGTGATGTCTCCTGAGCACTTACTTTGAGCCACACCTGAAGCCATCTTGCCCCTGAACTCTGCTGTTATGCCACCCAACAAATTCTTCCTTTTGCTTGAGCCAGCCTGGGTTGGGTTTCCTGCCACTTACAAGCAAGAGTCCAGAGTGAAATCCTGACATTCCCTGTACTTCGTATTTATAAGACCGCTACAGAGTTGGGCCTCTGTGAACAAGACACAGTGGGCCTAGCCCTCAGCTGTCCTCTACTTATGGAAGATGAATTTCAGACCAATGAAATGTACAAGGAATTATCATCTAGTCATGTGATATTCATGTTTCTTCCTGACTCAGACCCTCCAGTGGCTCTCCAGTGTGCTTGGAATAAAATCCAAACTGCCGCCATGTTGTATGAGGTCCTGCTAACTGCTCACTCCAAAGCCCAACTCATCCTCGATCACCCATGTCAGCCACACTGAGTTTCTTTCTGCTCCTGAACACACCACACTCAATCCCACCTTTATACTTGCTCTTCTCCTGAGCTTAGAAGGCTCTGCCTTCAAATCTCTACATGGCTGGTTTCTTCTTGACATTTGTATCTCTGCCACATGTCACCTGCCCCCACTGACACCCTCGCTGAAGTAGCCTCCATTCATTGCTGTTTCATTTTTGCCACTGACTGAAATGGTCTCACTCATTTGTTTCTTGTTTGTTGCTTGTCTCCCCTGTTAGAATCCAACTCCACAAGAGCCAGTCTTTGCTTGCTCATTCACCACCATATTCTGAGTCTCTGGCCCAGAGGTACAAATGGGTGCTCCTCAAATTCTAGTGGGGTGAATAAACAATACAGAGAGTTGAGGCTGAGTGATCAAAAAGGAGAGAACACCTGGGCCTTTGGGTATGTGGAAAGGCCCCCGAGGAGCCTAAGGATGAACACGCAGAAGGACAAAGGAAGGAAAGATTGTTAGGTGGAGCAAGCAGCATGAACAAAGGCATGGAGAGGTCAAGAGCTCTGTGTCTGGACTGGCAGCACCACAGCAGAAGGGCAGCGATGAGAGGCAGGTGGCCAAGAGCCTTGTAGGTCACCCAGTCTAAGAACTTCATCCCCAGGAGCGACCTGAGCTCTCTCAGCAGAGAGAAGAGATGACATCTGTGTTACTAAGACTTACCCAATAAACGTGTACTGAGGAGGGGCCTGCTTGGTCCGCCCCATGATCCGAATGTCACAAATTGCAGCTTCAGTTGAATCCCGTGGGATAAATTTAATGCACAGCCTCTTTTTTCTAAAAGCCACTTCCTCTGAAGAAAAGGACAAGAAAAGGTATGAATCTTCCACAGATGCCAACATCTCTATTCTGAATGCTGTGTCTCCTGTCGCGTTCCCTTCCTAGCGGCAGAAGCGACTAGCCATCTGAGTCGCTGGGCTGTACCCCTCCTGCTCTCCACAGAGTGCAGAGGCCATGACTGCAGAGTGGACACCAGTCACCCTGCCCTGCATCCAGGACCTGACCTCCAGGCACCCCTGCCAGGAAGGGCTCCCAGGGGTACACACATCTCTGTAAGGAGAAGCAGCTTGGAATAAACCCATAGGGCTGGTTTTTAAATGCCATAGCCACCATCTGCTTGCTGCTAAGGCCATCAGGGACATACACACAGACCCCTGAGTATTAACACTTTTTGCCATGTGGACTTTTCTTCTTTTTTACTTTTTATTATAGAAATTTTCAAACATTCCCCAAAGTGGGGAGGACAACAGAGGGAATCCACTTGTTCCCGTCAACCAGTTCCAACACTGTCAACAATGGACAAGCTGCTTTTGTCACCTTCCCCCACTTCCTTGTAGTTTTGCTGGAGGATTTAAAACAAATCCCAACACCATGTCATGTCACCCCTCAATATCTCAGTAGGCATCCATAGCAAACAATTTGTTTTAATATGACCAACAGGCTATTATCATATCTAACAAGATGAACAATGATTCCTTAGTATCACTCAGTAGATAGTCTATATTCAAGCTTTCTCCATTGTCTCAAAATTACCATTTAACTATTGCTTTGCCTGGATCAAGATCCAAATGATGTCTATGCACTGAATCTGGTTGTTAGGTCTCTTAAACTCCTTTTATTCTGTTACAAGCTCCCCCACCCTCCTCTTTCCTTTAGGTTGCTGCTAAGTTGGTGAAATTGGGTCATCCTCCTGTATTTCCTGTGAAGTAGCAGTTAGAGCAAAAGGCTTGATTAGATTCAGGTTAGATTATTTTTTGGTTAGGTAGGAACTCTTCACAAGTGGTGCATATGTGTCCAATGGCATCCTGTCACGAGGCATGGAGTCCAGCTGTGCCACCCTGCATGGGTTCGGTGGTGTTGGTCGAGTACTTGGATTAAAGTCCCCAACAACCATTCTTTGAGCAGTGTTTTTATCCCGATGACTGTTGCCTACATCGATAATCTCATCAAAGTTTTCAAAATGGCGATTTCTAGTTCTGGATTCCTTCTGTATTCATTAGCTGGAATTCTACATAAAAAATAACTTGTCTTCTTCAACTACGTGGTCTCCTTGAAAAAGCTTTGGTATAGGAAAGAGAAATATGTGATTCTTTGCTCTTATTAAGTTTTAGAGCAATGAGAGAAGTGCATTTAAGGCCCTAGCAATCTCCAATGGTGACCTAGCAATCTCCAATGGTGACCAACCAGGTGTTTTTTGTTTGTTCATTTGTGGTTTTTAGGTATGAATTTCAATCAACTGCAGCCACTAGATACATGAGTCAGATGTGCCTGGTTGAAATTCCAACTCTGCCATCAGTTCTATGATCTAAGGTAAGTGACTTAATTTCTCTGAGTCTAGGTTTCATTATCTGTAAAAGGAAGTTTATGAAACCCCATTCCAAAGGGATGTTGGGCAGATGAAATGTGATAACACATTACATGCTTCACTTAGACCAGTGCCTAGCACACAGTAAGTGCTCAATAAAGCATAGCCATGAATGCTCTTATCATCATTATTAGCAGTAAGCCTCTGGCACACAATTAATGGCAGTGTTTGGCATTGACTTTCAAGACCTTTCACTTCTGGAGCAGGAAGTAAGTTCACTCAAATCAGATAACAAAGGGGCAGGGAAGGACAGTCATGCCATTGGTCTTGGCTTGACCAAAGAGAGATGACCATCTGTGGTGTTATCTTATTGTTGACTGGGGGGAGGGTGCTTTTTAAAGAGCCAGGCAGAAACTCAGAAACTTGGTGGGTTCTTTTCAAACCAGGCAAGGAAACTGAGGGCTGGAAAATCATAGAATCAGATCTATGAGCTATAAGTAATAATGTCCTGAAGCCAGACCCCAGACATTGAACCCTATGAGACATGGATTGCATTCTGGAGGAAAACACCCATGCCAACATTGCACCTTCAAAAACTATTAGCTGGTAAGACCCAGCTAATAGACTTTCCAGACTTTGGGAAGTGTGAAGGTGAGAAAATGCAGGTATATTACTTGCTTTTGCCATGCTGCTCTTTGCTCTATTCCTCCATCTACAGCAATGTGGGGTAAGAGATGGAGCCACTAATTACACATGCTTAAACAAGGCCTAATTTTAAGTAAACATATTATACAGAGTCAATAGAAATGTGTTCAGTCATGCTAATGAACACAGAGAAAGGATACAGCACTTTACTAAAACAAACAGTCTTCCAGTTTTTAAGTACTGTGTGGATAGCAACAAACTATTTTAAATTCATTACAGGAGTCTCATCTCTTTGGCTGACTTTATGAAATCAGGGCCTTAAATGCACTGAAACTGCACAGAGCTGACCACAGGTTAATCTGGTCATTCTGGGCTCACCTGTGCCCTGGGAAAAGGCTCCAGGAAATGACCATAAAACCCAAATGAACAGGCTCCCCTAAACCCACCCTCCTTGTTAATGAGACACTTCTTGATGATGCCAGGTCCTGCCCTGAGAATGTTCACCGGCATCAACTGTCATGGGGAAGAGGCTTCCTACCTAGGATCACTGGGGCCCCATCACAACTAGACCACAGGCCCAGGCAGGATGCCCTGGCCTCCTCACTTAACTGGTTCAACAAATTAAGAGGAAATGCAGAATGGGAAATCCCTTGTGGCTCTAGAGTATATCGATATAAAGACATTATAAGTCAATTAGTTGTCAAAAATGAACACCAATGCAAATTTTGAAACTAAGAAAAGCATGAAGGAGAAGTGGGAAATTAACAGAAGTCTACAAGGCAATTTTAGTTCCTAAGCAGGCAAGTCATACAAGAATAAGCAAAAGCAGCAAGCAAACACTTTTGAAAATGTTCAGTCTTGCTAATAAATGACATGAAAATTAAATAAAATTAGAACAATAAAACTGAATAAAAATTTAAAACCTATGCTGGCAGGCCTGTGGAAAATAGGCACAAGCCTGTATCATTAGTGGCACTGTGAACTGGTACTTCTGGAAGTTAATTTGGCAACAGAGAGTAATAAAGCTTATCTTTATGGAGCCCATCCTCTGAGCAAGGCACTGCATACAGTAGGTGTCTCTGGTGCCTCAAAAATGAATTAAATGCAGATCTCACCCTCAAAGAAAAAGGTTAAGTAGTGAAGATAAGTGGAAAACACGTAAAATGCTATAATGCAAGCTAAAAGCAACATTATGAGGTAGATACTAATCCCCCATTTTACAGATAAGGAAACTGAGACCCAGAAAGATGAAGTCAGTTGCTTGGGGTGCTAAAGCTGTGAGTGACAAAGCCAGACTCAGAATTAGGGGAGTCTGACTCCAGGGCCCAAGTGCTACTCACCCTCTGCTGAGCCGCAGTGTGTCCTGACAGAGTCGAAGTATGAGGTGAGAAACAGAATCTATGACTTCCTTTGGCTTCTGGGCACTCTAACCTGCAGTGCTTACTTCCCTCCCTCCCTTTACTGAATGTGTGCTGTGCGGGGTGTGATGAAAAGCAGCAAAGAAGGCAGAGGGTCCCTGATCTCTGAGGAGAGCTCCATCTGATTACATTGTAATGCAACTTCCTGTTTTCAGGTCACCCACCAAACTAAGTGCCTGGAGGGAAAGGCCAGTATGTGAGTCAGCCACCATGTCTCTTGCAAAGCCTGTGGTGTTTACATAAGGCATTTATCAATCTTCACTGACTGTGCAGAAGAGCTCGCTTGAAACTGGCATCTAGGGATCAGAGATAGTTTCACACAGGGTGTGCAGAATGAAAGCTCACCCTTGAAAGATTTGGGGTGTGGACACTCAGAGTGGAAGCTTTCCTTCAAGCATTTCAATCAAGCAAATAAGCAGTATCAGGAAAGAAACAAGTGTGAAGAGCGCACAGTGAGTGCCTTGGTTTGCGTAAAGTATAGGGTGCTTGAAGATGAGGAAAACGCTTGTAGAAGAAGGCGGAAGAAGACGGGAGGAGACAGTAGAGTCCCCGAGACCCAGGAGCCTCCAGTACTTGGAAACTCATCACAAGAAAATCATTCAGAACCTATGTGTACCCAAACTGAGCTATAGATTCAACACCACTTCTATCAAAATCCCAGGTAGCTTCTTTGGAGAAACAGACTAAGCCTAAAAATTCATATGGGAATTCAAAGGAATAGCCAAAATAGCCAGAATAGCCAAAATAATCTTGAAAAGGAAGAACGAGGGTGAAAGAGTCATACTTCCTGGTTTCAAAACTTGCCACAAAGTCACTGTCATCAAGACTGTGTGGTATTCCACCATTTGCTTCAACGTGGATGGAACTGGAGGGTATTATGCTGAGTGAAATAAGTCAGTCGGAGAAGGGCAAACATATGGTCTCATTCATTTGGGGAATATAAATAATAGTGAAAGGGAAAAGAAGAAAAGGGAGAAGAAATGGGTAGGAAATATCAGAAAGGGAGACAGAACATGAAGACTCCTAACTCTGGGAAATGAACTAGGGGTAGTGGAAGGGGGGGGGTGAATGGGTGACGGGCACTGAGGGGGGCACTTGACGGGATGGGCAGTGGGTGTTATTCTGTATGTTGGCAAATTGAACACCAATAAAAAATAAATTTATTATTTAAAAAACACCAATAAAAATTAATTTATAAAAAAAAAAAGACTGTGGTATTGACATGAGGAAAGACATATACAGATCAATGGAAGAGAGCTCAGAGTCCAGAAACAAACTCACATTTATGGTCAACTGATCTTCAACAAGGATGCTGAGACAATTCCATGGGGGAAAGAATAGCCTTTTTGACAAATAGTGCTGGAACAACATGACATTAACATGCAAAAGAATAAAGGTAGACCCCTATCTTATACTATACATAGATGATAACTCAAAATGGATCAAAGGCATAAGTGTAAGAGTGAAAAATATAAAATCCTCAGAAAAAAAACACAGGTATACATCTTAGTGACCTTGGATAAAGCAATGCTTTCTTAGGTATGACACCAAAAACATAAGCAACAAAAGGAAAAAAGTAAATGAATGGAACTCCAACGAAATAAAAACCTTATGTATTTCAAAGGACATCAAGAAAGGGAAAAGAAAACCCACAGAAAGAAAGAAAATTTTGTGAATAATTGATACAGGGCTTATATCTAGAATATGTTAAAATATTTATAACTCAATAATAAAAAGACAATCTAATTTAAAATGCCAAAGGATCAGAAAAGACATTTCTCCAGAGGAGATATAAAAATGGCCAACAAGCACACAAAAATATGCTCAACACCATTAACCATCAGGAAATGCAGATCAAAACCATGAGAGACTTCATGTCCTCTGAGCTGGCCAGAGTAATAACAACATGTGTTGGTGGAAATGTGGAGACACTGGAAGCCTTGTGCACTGTTGGTGGACAGGTGAGGGTCAGAGAGAAATGGGGAGTGACTGCTAATGGGTACAAGTTTTTTGGGGGTGTGGGTATGAAGAAATGTTCTAAAATTAATTGTGGTAGTAGTCACACAAATCTGTGAATACCCTAAAAACCACTGAATTGTACACTTCAAATGGATAAATTAATGGTATATGAGTTATATCTCAATAGAACTGTTATCAACAACATCTGATGCATAAATATATAAAATCTATCTGTAAAAGGCACTTAACCACATGCGATGGACAGGGTGGCACTGTGATTTACAGTATGGCTGGAGTCAGACTTAGGCGTGTCTTCTAGTTACTTCCCCACTTCCAGAAGTGTGATCGTGGATTAGTTCTTCAAACCCTCATTTTCCTCATATGGGACAGGTATAACAATACCCATCTTCAAACAGGGGTTTTCTAGAGATCCAGTGACGTCAGGTACTTAAAGCATTTACCTTGGCAGTTAGCATGTGGTAAGTATTGTACTACATATCAGCTATCATGATTATTAGCTAATCCATATAATAACAAGTAAAAGCAAAATGTCCAAAAGTGAGAGCACTAGAAATATGCAATATGTTTTCATATTGTTTCATAAAAATAACGGCTGTGTGGCATCTATCTATGTAGAAATGCAAAGTCTAGTCTATATGAAATGCTAACGAGAAAATAGCAAAAGATTATGGACGCAAAATGGGGCTAACTATGGAAAACTAAAGTGTGCATGATGACCAAGACTGAGATACAGGATTCCATAAATGAATCAAGTGTAATAAGGAAAGGATGCTCTGTATTTTTCCATTTACTGCTTCACTGTTGGTGATATCCTAAAGTTGGTGACAGTAACTAAAAATAAAACAAGTTAAGGTATATCAAAATGAGGAGGTTCAACTATCCAGGGATTTTCCAGCATAATTTAATAATTGACAGGCGTGACAAGAGCTTCAAACCCTCCAGGATCCTGAAGAAGCTTCGGTGTGTCAGTGACTTACTTCTGCTGGGTGTGGCTCAGGGGTCAGAGTATTTACTGAAATTCGATCCTGTGTCCTCTGACATGCAGTCTTTCTGATTCTGGCTTTTCTTGTGTGTTCCAAAAGCCAAACATAAGGACATTATTGCACTTATATTCCTTCGGCGTCTTTGATTTTTTTTTCCTTTTACTTCTGGGTTTTGTGCCAAGCTTGGCTTCAACGACACCAGAGGATGGACTAAGTAGAAACTATACCCAGTTTCACCGTTCTGTTCTTGGGCGAGCCGATTCAGCAGGGAGCCCATTCTAAGAGAAAAGGACATCCTGCTCATTTTCATGCTGCTTCCCAGAACACCACAAACTCCTTGGAGAACCAAGTCAGACACGCATCAAAAGCAGCAGGGTTTATTCATGGGCATGCAGCAAGACCTCCTAAAATGTTCCCAAAGAAAAATGCACATACAAAACATCTAAAAATACACCTGGAGGAAGAAAAATCCCATTGTGATGAGTGGTACTAAAAGGAGACTCACGTGTGTCCACTGTCTCCTGAATTGGGATGAAGCCTACAGGCAGAGTGTCCTTGATGTCAATGAGCTTCATATCCACTAGCACATTCCCTAAATGACTCTTGGGAAGAAAGAAAAGAGAAACAGACTATTAATCTGAACACCCCTGTGGTGGGTTTGCCATTTTGGCTTTGAGATGCATATTTAACACAATGACTCGTGCAGCTTTACGACAGCAGGTTAATTAGAGTAGGTACCACTCTATGTTTCCCAGTGGCAACACAGGGACTCAGGTGGCCCCCGGGAAGGAGCTTCTCTGTGGCACCTCAAAGCCATTCACTCAGATCCTGCTTTGGTTAGCAAGACTGAGACCCAGGAGACGCTCAAGACATCACCCAGCAGAGGGCAGCTGTGTGCGCTCGTCCTGGGACCAGGCTGTCACTCAGCCAGGAGCTTTGGCTCTGGGGCCAGCTGGCTTTAGACAAAGCACATTCCTGGGGCAGTCACTGCAGCAGGAGAGAGCTGCGTCGAAACCTACCAGAGAAACCAATCACGCTCTTGAGATTGCCTGTCTGCATATCGACATACATCTCGGTTGCCAGACGTTCTGTAAAATCCCAAGAATTATAAACGGATACAGACTGAAAAAGTGCTGCTGCCTCAATATTACACATCTGTTAAAATGACATGCAGAAGGGCCTCTTAAAGTTTCTATTTAGTGGTAGCATAGGGGGTCCAGAGTGCGCAGTTTCTTTAACTAGTGCAAAAATATCTTCTGAAGACAGCACACGCCATTCTGTAATTGCAAGAGAGCATCCTTTGAAAACACTCCAGCACTTTTAGCCCACATCTCTGGTTTTGAAATGCTCAGTGCCAGCACTAGCTCACAGAGCCAATCAGGGAATTCTTATCATCCAAATTCTGCACTATAATCTCTTGTGGCCACTCCATTTTCCTTCCTATTGGTGTATAATGGCACTTTGGGAGGTTCTTTCTTCAACATCTGTCTCACCACAAGAGTTCCAGAGCCACGAGGACCAAAACTATCTGTTACTGCTATATATCCAAGCTTAGCATACTTCTTGGCACATAATAGGTGCTCAATTATTATCTACTGAATAACATAATGTTTTGGGGTACGTTTTAACCTGGGTGAGCCAGAGTCAGAAATCAAGTTGGATTTGCTTGGATGAAACAATCTAAGCTGTATCAGTAAAAACAAAAGTATACTAAATAAAAACATTGTAAACCAAAAGCACACAAATGAAATAAATTCTTCACACTTCACTATGAAGGTCAATGTGTCAAGTATCAACTATGACCAGGGCTTTTATGGCGCTATTGTCACAAAACCATTCCTTTCTCTCAGAACCATTGTGTTTGCCAACTATTTTTTATTATTAAATTTCAGGTAGCTGGGTCTCGAGGAAACAATGCACAGTGCAGTGCGGCTCAGCATGTGGAAACTGGAACCTTACTAATGCAGAATAAATCTCTGATTGTGTAGAAAAGGTTTGAACCGTTAACCTAACTTGAAAACATCAGCTGCTTTCAGAATTGCCTGATCTAATCAATCATAATTTCTTTTTTCCTGGCAGTTGCTTTTCCGTGTCATCACTGCTCTCTGCATTGCGAAATTAACAACTGGGTATGTTTTCCTGCCCCAGAGATGGATGGGCATTCATCAATATCTTTCTCAAATGTCTTCTACTTGACAAGTTGGGTTTTACACAAGTCAACTGCAAACCACTTAGCGACCTCACCCTCCACACTCTACAAATGTCGCTGATCATAAAACCAGAACGTCAGTGGTGTGGCCATTAAAAAAAAAAAAAAGCATCAAGAACCATCCCGTGCATACAAAATGGGAGGCTGTACTGTCAAAGCTTCCCGCAGCCCAAGTGTGGTCCCTCTCTGCGCACAAGGCTGCTGCTGTACGGGGTTTAATACAGTAGGTCTGCGACACCATTAATTTTGCTTGTTCCTCTCCCCTCCCCCATCCCGTGCTCTCTTTCATTTCCTCCTCATAAATATGAAGAACATATTCCCAATCCTTGTTGAGCAAATGATTCATGCCAAAAGCCCAATATGCACTGACTAAGGGTATTTATACTGTCTCTGGTAGCCAGTATTTGCTAGTATACTGTAATTATTTTTGACAACCTTGCATTTAAGGTAGCCACAGATAACCAACTTAATATTCAAATGTTCATAAATCCTTCTGTTTAATATCCTCCCTACCTAATCTATGTACATTATTATTACAGGTAATGCAGAAAGTACAGGGCATGAAAAGTGCAATTAATCTCGATCCTTCCCCAGGAAGCAATGTCATTCCAAAGCCAGGTTTCTCTATTAATAGCATTAAGGGGGGAAAGGAATTTCGGTTCCAAAGGAGTGTCCCAAAACTCCTACACTGGGAGTCTCAAGCCGCCTAATTAAGAATCTGCCCAGTCTTGAGATCCCACATCCCTCCTCTACAGTTGTAAAAATATACACTGTGCAAAGTCCTGGCTGTGACAGCAGGGCCAGGATAGACTGGCTGGAGTAGATTGAAATACACCCCATTCCTACTGTGCTCCTGGGCTGGTGAGTAGATCCCTGTAGCCCCCAAGTAGATCCCTTTGGATCTCACTAAAGGACTTAGCAGTTCTTCTGAAAACAAGATGCACCGATTTCCCATACTCCTTCAGAGGGAGAGGCAGGTGCTTCTTCCCGCCGCCCCTCATCCTCCTCCCCGAGCCCTTCTTCACACCCTGCCCCACCACACTCGGCCTGCATGGAGCAAGGCTTACAAAGCAGGCACTCCATAATCTCTCTTTCATGTTCAACAAATGCCGATGAGCCTGGTACAGTTTCTATGATACATTTATCCAGGACACACAAAATTCACAAGTACTGGTGACTGCTCTGTCATTTTTAAGACTTGTCACCATCCCCAACTCCAAGGGATCCAGGACTCTTTTGGCCTAGACTACTAATACCCCACCACCTTCAGGGGAAATGCAAAACAAACAAACTAATAAACACAAAAAACCCCAACCAGAAATAAAAAACAATCAAAACGATGGTGGCTGTCCTCTGAGGCCATAGTTTCGAACTGTAGCTGCAGTCAGGGAAGCTGGGGGCTAAGCAGAGGTCAGGAATGAACACTTAGAGACCACTGGGCACAGTGAGTTAGCTGTTCCAGTCCTCGGGAGTTCATCCTCAATGCCCTGAGCGGCACTGAATGCACTGCAGGAAGGGGCAGGCAGCACACAGAACAGAGGTAACAAAAGCTAAAAGTATAAAGTTTAAAAAAACAGGTTTAGGTCAACTCCAGGGTCAAAGGGGCGCGAAAGCACAGGGATTAAGGAATGGAGCATCGGGGGCAAAAGGCAGTCTACCCTCAACTACATGAGGCCACATCCTGAAAGGCAACCCATCCTCCAGAGGGCCCCTCAAGGTCTCCTCGGGCTGCAAAGTGAGCCCCAGGGACCTGCTCACACTCATTACAGGCTCAGCTGCCACATTCCTGCCTTTATGAGAAGGATTTCTAGTGTTTAGCGCTGGGACGGTGGTCCCCGCCCCATTAGAAACTCTGTACTTCACAACAAGCATATATTACTCTCATAATTGGGGGAGGGGGGGAGGGGAAGGATTAAAGCAATGACTTCTCCCCTAGTCCTAAATACATTAGGAATGATTTCCCTAACAAAGACTTATCAATAAGCAACAGGAACGGCTGGTGGAAGGGTGTCAAGCCAGAGAACCACATGACTGTCTACATGACTGTCTACATCCAGTCAACACCAAAGGGACACATAGAATCCTAGGATAGGATCACAGGCTGTGTCATATGTGATGGGGAGAAAGACTTATTGTTCCCCTTTCACACTTCTGAATGAGGATGTTTGAAAAAAAATGTTTTTTAAACCATGAGCATAAATTACTGTTACAATAAAATTTATGAAAATGAATTAATAAAAACATTCCTCTCCCCCCCCCCTTTTTTTTTTTGGTGTGCCTTAGAAAGAGACAATAATATTTAGGCCCAAATAAAACATCACCTCTGAAAACGAAAACCTGACTGCTCCCTCTTTGGGGCTAGGGAAGACAAGGGACACCGACGGACAAGCACAAAAACTCTCTCATTTCAGGAAAGGAGCTAATACTTCAAGAGACTGTCTTTGGATGGGAGAGATATATCTGCAGAGTGCCTAGGACATGCCTTGCTCAGGGTGGACTTGTGCAGGTCCTTGTGAAAGCTACCTCCCTTTTTTCCTAAGCCACTCATTAGAACATTCTGCTGGAAAAGCCTTAGTAGATAGCTTTAAAATTTCCTGATTTATGGGCCCAAGAGTTAAGGATAGCATTCTGAGAGACATCTGCATATGTGGTAGAGACCTACCTGCAGAAACAATGAAATGTCAAATGTTATAGAGACTTAGGGAGAAAGGCAGTCATTCTGGAAATAAGGCCATGTCTGGGGAAAGAGATGATCATGGAGCATCTTTCCAGCTACACTTCTGTGTGTTGGCTGGTTAAGCCCAGTCGCACTCGCAAACACTCACATCCATACCACTGTGTGACTTGTGACTTACATGAAAGCTAGGCAAATTAGGGTTGGGAAAGAAATTTCCTGGTTCCCTTTGTAGAACACATTTTAATGGAATTCACTGTACACTTGGGCACATGGTTAATAATACTGTTAATAAATGAAACACAGCGCTAGCTGCTGATTCTACCCAGTTCACTAAAACCACACATTAATATGGCAATGAAAATAAACCACCACCACCACCACCACCACCACCACCACCACCACCACAACAACAACAAAGAAAATGAGGAAATTTCAACCAGGCACGTAAATGCCTTGTGTTCGCTCAGCAAACGGACACCACTCCTGGACTTACATTTTCTTTGGAAAATGATCTCGTGAAACACAGGTATCTGGTAACCTTGGATTTAAATAAGCCGTCTTTCCAGAGGTCAGCATCCACACCATCTGCTGTCTGTGCAACCTGTACCAAAGAGACAGAGAGGTGCGCAGGTAAGGCAGGCTGGAACCCAAGGTGTGTGTGAGCAGCTTCTCCGTACCTGCACCAATTAACACTGGCCCGAACTCTCATGGCATCTCATTAGTTCATTTCACTAGGTGCCAGGAAGGGGCTTTCCAAAAGGGGGAAAGGGAGAGTGTGAAAAATACAACTTCTAAAAATACTGTCCCCTGGGAAGCCATTGATTAAAGATGCCCTGACAAAAACGGTTCTAATGAGAAAAGAGCAACTTTTGTCGCAATGGACCCAGGGATTGGGGAAGTCAGCACATTGAGTTGCTCATTATCACTCACTCGGGGGGAACAGGACAGGGTGCAGAGAAAAGTCCAGGGGGGTGTGAAACGCCACCTGCTCCAGGACCCCGGGGCCAGCCAGGGTGCCTTGTCAATGGGCCCCCAGTGGGGAGTAGGGGGCAGGTGCCAGGGAAACTCGCTCCTCGCTGTGACTTCTCTGCACAAGCTCTGCGAGTGGTACTCAAGGTTAGAAACTGTATCATGATGGAAAAATAAAAAAGATTCAGCTCCCTGTTTATGGTCTCACTAAGAAGCCATTTTCCCGTGTGTGGCTGTAGAAGTGTTCCTAGCAGAAGCACTCAAGCATGAAGCCAGCCTTGATTTGAGTCTGAAAGGACCTGTGTACTGGGATGGGGGCGGGAGGGGGCACTGGTTTTAAGGCCCCTACTTTGGGGCAAAGAGTCAACAACCAGACTGGAGAGCAGGAGAGAAATGGCCAGACAAGGACAGCACCTCCCCCCACTGCTCCCCATGTCTTTCCAGACTGCTCCATTCACCGACTGTCGGGACTTGTTTTGCCTTCTCACATCGCAGCCCAACAGGACAGCATTCCCAGCACAGTGCCTTTGGCTGGCACCCCGAGGGAGCACATCTGGGAGGATAGAGGGAGCAGCACCTCATTTAGGGATGTGCTCCAGAGCAGTCTGCTCTCTGCCGCCTCCCTGGCTGTCCTGTGGAGGTTTAGACTTTGGGATGCTGTCCTTGATCAGACAAACTGCTGAAATGAGATCTTTGCACAAAAACTGCCTTGACTGGGCCCCATCCCAAGTACACATCCCACAAGCACGCCCACAGCCTCTGGCTGTCACATGCGCAGGGCGGGGGCACACAGGCCCCCTCTGCCAGGACACCCCCAGGGCCCCCCACAGCCATGCTCTCTGAGGCTGCCTCAGAAAGACCCAAAGGCCAACTGGCAAAAGAAAAACGCCTTTTTTCCCCCAAATGGAACAATCGTAAATTAACAAATACAACACAGGAAAAAGAAAGATCCTTATGCTGCATATGCAAATATATTTGACCTGAAACCTGGAGGACAAATGGTATGGGAGTAATTTTAGGAATCTTTGGCTCCAAATACGTTACCCCCACAGAAAGACATGAAATAGAATGGCATCGGGCCTCATCAGGACTTTTCCCTGTAATGGTCTTACATCAAGTTTCTTGGAAAACATGAGATTTAAGGCAGCAGCACTAACTCTCTGCCACCAAGGATCCCTTTTGTCAATTTTCTCCTGTGGATTCCATGTTTTGAAAGATTTTTTTCCCCCCAACTGTCCTTTTACTTTTACTGTATTTCCTCAATTCTAGGATGTAGTCATTTGGGAATCGCCCATGGATTTAAAGAATAACACTTTAGGAAAAAAAAAAAAAGAACAGAATGTCAAAAGGTACAGATTTATCTAAAGATGCATTCCAATTTCAGAACTATTTAGATGTGAAAATAAAAGATGCTATAGGAATAAAGAAATAAGGGAACTTATATGGTTTCTCTATATTAAATACATTATTTTGGATAAATAAAGAAAAATAGTCTGCAGAACACTGGAAGGCTGCAGAACCGCACGCTGGGACCTCAGAAGACAGAGCTATCTTTAACCTTCCACCAGAAAAGGAACAGAGTTCAGAAGGGCTCTCCTGAATATTTGGGAATTCCACCGGGGGGGTGGGTATACCCTAAATCAAGGCTATTGTTTCCAGGGCTTAAAAATGATTTCCCTCCCCTAGCCCCACTCTGCTTGCCCCACTGTCTAAATTTTCTTTTTTCTGGGTGAGAAGACACCTCACTGTGATAAAGAGGACAGGGCAAGCATGTAAAGAGCAAAGGCCACAGCCAGGCCTGCCCCTTCCTCAGAGGCCCAGGCAGCGGCAGTTCTCCAGCCCTCACTGGAGAAGCGTTAAAAATGGACAATAAAAGGCCAGGCTTTGCCCTGAGGCCACAACTCATTTACAATGAAGTAAATATGTGCAATACCTTCCAACCTCAACTAGGAGAAGGTGAGGAGGATAGTGAGAGAGGAAAAGTGTGAGTAAGCACAAGCACGAGTGTGTGTGTGTGTGTGTGTGTGTGTGTGTGTGTCTGGGCAGAATGCAGAAGTGCCCAAAGCTCGGACCCACACAGGGGATGGACTGGAGCAAGGAGTGAGAATGTCTGGGGTCCTGGCTTATCAGGAGCACAAGGGGAGTAGCCCTGGCATCACAAAGCCAGATATTCCCAGCTTTGCCTTCCCCGTAACAATAAGATATACCCAGAAGCTTCTTTCCAATCTGGTCACATAAAGGTGTTTACTAACCTTATCTCTTCCCGTCCCAAATTAGATGAGCTAATAACCTACAAGATAAGTGATGTATGAGACAGGTAGCTGCATGTGCACCCCTGCAGAAATTCATGTCTCAACTCTGACCATGAGGATCCAGCAGCCAGCCTCTAATCCCGGGACAGGAGAGGTTGTGGGAAGGTGGGCCGAGGGCTGCAGAAAGAGGTGCTCCAGGTGGAGCACAGCCCATGAAATCAGAGGCAGACGTGAACTTGACACCGGATGGCTTAAGCAAGCCACCTCCTCCTGGGAACACTGTGATTAGAGATGATATACATGCAAAACGTCTGCCTCAGTGCTCACCAGGGAACACCCACAAAGCAAGGGCTAACACATCTAAACTAAAGATGAAGATATCTGGTCTGACATCAGACCAAACCTTTAAAGTGATGTCATGCTACATCAAGATTCAAAAAGTCCTCAATTGCCACACTGGGGTTGAACTGGTCCTCTGGGATTCCTTCCCCATCTCTGGAACTAGATTTGGTCTCCAAACACCAATTAATACATGTGCAATTAATGTTTACCTGCCCACCCTGCTATCCTGCCACTGGACCATAAGTTTCATAAGGAAAACATTGATCCTCATCTCCCTGCTGCAGTAAGCATAGTGCCCAATATGTATGGGCTCAACTAAAACTTGTGGAAGGAATGAAAGAATCAGCCATTCAATCAGGAGCAAAACGTAAAGAGCTACCCAAGTAAGGTCATCTCAAAAAAATTTTTAAAGATTTTTAAAATTAATTAATTAATTAATTTATGGGGGGGGAGTAGCAGAGGACAGGGAGAAGCAGACTCCCCACTGAGCACAAAGCCCAACATGGGGCTCAATCCCATAACCCTGAGATTATGACCTGAGCCAAAACCAAGAGTCAGACACTTATCCGACTGAATCACCCAGGCGCCCTGGTAATCAAACATTTTTAAATGAAGTTTCCAGGATGTAATCCCTTGAGCTGAGTATAACCCCTTCAGAATCCCCACTGTGAAGCCACATACCCATTTCAACAATGAGGTCCCTTAGTCTTTTGGTCATTTTGCTGGTACCCTGTCCTGTTTCCCAAATCAGGATATTCCCTATATCAGGATATAGGATGTCCAATGCTGCTGCTATGCCTCCAGAGTATCTGACATGGGGCTTCACATGCATACACATGCATACACCCACACACATACACTCTCACACACTCTTATTACATACTCACACACACTCATTCTTCTGTCTTATAGCCACTCACTTTTGCACACCTCCCCTCCTCCAGTGTCTCCCTGGGTACAGGAGCTGCCTCTGGAGAGGAGTAGGTGGGCAGTGACAGACTGAACACATGGGTTTGTCTCCCAACTCTGCCAATATTCCTCTCAAATGACAACCATGTGAGAGAACATACGAACCCACTAAAATAAAGATCAAGAGAAGGGTATGATGCAAGAAAGGATCTGGAGATGTGTAGAGTGAAAGGCTGGGATTTAGCAGAATGGAGGAGTGGACGTCTAAGGACCTAGAGAGACAAATGACCTGCCCCCCACCCCAGGCCCTGGGCCCCAGAGCCACCAGATTCCATTGGGGTGAAGGTGGGGTTGTGGGGGTGGGTACATGTGAGTTTAGAGCTGAAAGAGGAAGACTGGAACAAGGTCTATGAACACAGCAATTATACTCCCAGATCCCCACCCCCATTTCAGATGTATTTTCTGCAGAAATGGAATCAGTAAGGCTCAGGACTCCAGAACACCAGGAGGAAGTAGACTCTGGACTGGAAATGGGGGTTACCATGCACACTGAATGGTGGGCCCCTTCCCCTGCTACCACCAGTCTTATCCTCCTTTCTGCTTCTGGCACTGTGGCAGCCAGGTTTATCACCTAAATGCTGGATGTCAAAGAATTTGTCTTTGGAGACACTAAAGAATGCCAGAGAATGAATTGGCACACCCAGACTCTGGGGGTCTCCTGCGACAAAGCTACTTCCCTGCTACATCACCCTGTGTGCCGCCCACCAGCAACAGGCCCCACCCCTACCCTTGGCGCTCCAGCCTCACTCACCAGTGCCTTGCTCTTAAGTAGAAACTGGCCACAGAAGATCACCAGGGGCTGGGGTAAGTTTCAAATACGAAAGACAGGCTCCAAATTAGAAAAACTGGCATTTGAGGGTAGCACAGAGAGTAGGAGAAAACAAAGTTAGGGAGCAAACAATCAAACCTATAATTTGTATAACTGCATCCACCAAATAAAATGGAATATTGTGAAAATAATTCTAAAGGATCAATTTAAGAATAATATAAAGAGCTTAGAAATTAAAGTGTTATAGATAAAATTAAGAATTAAAAAAAATACTGGAAGATAAAATTGAGGAGCTCTTTCAGAAAGTAAAATACAAATACAAGATAAGCTATGGGGAAGAAAAAACTAAGAGGGCTGAAGGGTCAAGACAACATCCAACGAATGACATAAAAAATGGAAGAGAAGGTGAGGATCCATATTAAAGAGGCCCTCAGTGTTCCAGCACAGGGAATGAGAAAGTCCCACCCAAAGCAAAACAGGAGAGAACCACACCAAATTTGGGAGAAATAAACCATCCTGAAAACTTCCAGAGGGAAGTAACAGGTCACATACAAAGGAGTGCGAATCAGAATGCATTAGACTTCTTGATGGCAACACAGAACGCTAAATAAGACGAGAAAATGCCTTTAAAATTGTGGGGAATTCTAGAATTCTCCACCTATGCCAACTGTGAGGGCAGAATAAAGACCTTTGCAGATGTGCAGGGACTTAAGAAGTTAATCTCCCACCAGCTCTTTCTTAGGAACCTACCAGAGGATGCATCAGCAAAACTGGAGATGATATCAATGAAGAAGAAACCACGAATCCCAGAAAACAGATCCTGAACAGGACGGCGATGAGAGGGGCAGCGTGCCTGGACCAGTGTGCCCGGACCTAGACCCAAGGAAAAGAAGAGAAGGCCGTGGCAGGCCACCTGCAGGAGGGGACATGACAGTTTTTGGAACTGTACTTAAGCCCTGGGAAGAAATATGGATGGGTGTGTGACAGATGTACTGGAGCATGTAGAAAACTAAAAACACAGGAATAAAACTGTTTAAAAACATATTTATTAAATAAATTAATTTTTGTAATTAAAAAATTTGAATGTAAAAAATCAATAGGCACTTAGTATGGAGGTTCCTCAAAAAGTTAGAAATAGAACTACCCTATGATCCAGTAATCACATTACTGGGTAGTTACCCCCAAAATATAAAAACACTAATTCAAAAGGGTAGATGCCCCCCAATGCCTATAGCAGCATAGATGTATCACTATATTCTATATACAACAGCCAAGATATAGAACATTTATAACAGCTAAGATATAGAAGCTTCCCAAGTGTCCACTGGCTGATGAATGAAGAAAAGGTGATATATTATATATTATTATATGTATATTATATATTATATGTTAACAATTATTATATATATAATGGAATATAATTCAGCCATAAAAAGAATGAAATCTTGCCATTTGCAATGATATGGATGGAGCTAGAGAGTATTATGCTAAGCAAAGTATGTCAGTCAGAGAAAGACAAGTACCATATGATTTCACTCATATGTGGAATTTAGAAACAAAACAAATGAGCACAGGAAAAAAGAGAGAGAGAGAGACAAACCAAGAAACAGACTCAACCATAGAGAACAAACTGATGGTTACCAGAAGGGAGGTGGGTAGAGGCTTGCATTAAATAGGTGATGGGGATTAAGGAGTACACTTGCAGTGAGCACCTAGTGGTATATGGAAGTGTTAAATGACATATATATTATACACCTGAAACTAATATAACACTGTATATGTTATACTGGAAATAAATAAAATTAAGTAAAATAAAGATAGGAAAAAATTAGAAAAATTAAAAATTCCAATATAAAAATCAATAGATACCTACACAATTAAGCAAATGAAAGAAGTAAGTTAATGACGTTCCAAGAAAATGAAAAAGTTGTAGAAGAAAAGCTACCCCCCTGTACATGACCCTGATGGAGTGGTACCTCATGTTTGCCTTGTCATAATATGTAAACACTGACAATCAATTTACCAAAAATTGAGATGTTGTCTGATGGGGGAGATTATAAGAGAGCTGAATGTGTAGGATAGGTAAATCAAGAAATAAGCAGTATACTCATACTATTTAGAAACATGGAGATAAAACACCAGAAGTGAAGAAATGTAAGATCTGAAAGTGACTACCTCTGGGAGTGAAAAAAGAAGAGTGGAACTGGGGGCTGCTGCATGGTCTTACCTGCATTTGGTACTCTTTGATTTTCTTTGTAAGTAGGTTCCACATCCAGAATGATGCCCAGCATGGAGCTTGAACTCATACCCTAAAATCAAGACCTGAGCTGAGGTCAAGAGTTGGACGCTTAACCAATTGAGCCACCTAGGTGCCCAAGTACTCTCATTTTTTCGCTTAGTTAAAATAAAAGTAAATTTTAATTTTAAAAAAAATCAGAGAGCTGGGAAAATAGATCATGGAAGACCGTATGGGAATGTTCTATTCCTTTTAGGGCAATACCTCAATACCAATTACCCCCTTGGTGTGTTCCCAAGAATGTGACAATGTCCAAAGCTGTGTGCAAGAAGATTCCAGCCACAAGTCACTCCCTGGGAGAGTCCTGTGAGTGGTGGCCCCTGGCCCTGCAGAAACAACTGCAGGACGACCTTTCAGGAAGCTGTCTAACCAGGATCCTGGCTCAGCCTCTGTCTCCCAGCCCAGGCCTCTGGTTTTCCTCTCTGGCCCAAGTTTAGAGGTCTTATTCTGGACTACTGTGCACCAATCACGGAAGAAAATGTGTGCCCAGGAGGCCAAACAGCCTAGTATGCAGGGGTCTGGTTACCCGCAGCTAGCCTATGAGGAATTTTTTTTTTTAAAGATTCATTTATTTATTCATGAGAGACAGAGAGAGAGAGAGAAAGAGAGAGGCAGAGACACAGGCAGAGGGAGAAGCAGGCTTCATGCAAGGAACCTGACGTGGGACTCGATCCTGAGACTCCGGGACCACGCCCTGGGCCAAAGGCAGGCGCCAAAGCACTGAGCCACCAAGGGATCCCAGCCTATGAGGATTGACGCTGTAAGGAAAACCTGATGTTAAATGTGAGAAGTCCTCCTGGTTTCAGAGCAGGTGGCTGGGCTGGAATCTTTGCTTTGAGGAACTTCTGTCTGCCTGGCATAGGTCTAAGAAAGTCATGTGCATTTCTCATTGAATTCTCCCAATGATCCAATGACATAAATTCCATCTGCTCCGCAGATTACAGATGAGGAAATGAGGCTCAGAGCATGGAGGTAAACTCGGCAAAGTCACTCAGTGCTAAGCGAAGAAGAGGGCCTCTTGGATCTCTAGCCCCGACTGTGCACTCCTGCCTCTACCACATCAACATTCAGGAAGCAGTCGCCCTTCACCACCCAGGAAAGGATGGTCGGCCTGCCAGGACCTGACTTTGGGGCAGTTGAGAAGCCACATGCAGGCATACCTGGAATATACCAGAAGGACAAGACCCAAACAGAGCCTCTCAGGGCCACTTCAGAGACCCACCAGGACCACAACTGTGAAAGGAGACTGGGAGCATACCGCAGCATCTCAGTGCCATATGCCACGGAAAAGGTAACACTTGCAGACACTTCTGGAAGCACTGAGGTCTGGAGAGTTTTGCTTTGAGGATGAAACTATGGAAAACGGTGAAATTAACTTTAACGCTGAAATGCCTTCCTCACTTTGTGAGACTTAAGCCTAAGCTATTAACTCTAATGTTTTTAAAACGTCCTCTGCATCCAGGCAGGGACCCATGATTTCACTGCATTTCTCTGCCTGCGAGACACAGAAGTACTGGAGCTTGCCTGCGTGAGAGGGAGGGTGGGGAAACAGAACTAGAAATAGGACACAGGGGCCCAGAAACCAAAAAAAGTCAGAGCAAGCAGACCTCCCTGAGAGGGAGCGCTTCTGGTTCACTGGAAGGTCAACAGCTGGCTCCCTGGAGGCAGGGGCGGGGTTGCTGAACTTTTACCCAATGCCACACCACCCTCGCAGACAGCGTTCCTGTCCAGCCACTCCACTGTGTCTTCCATGTACTGTGGGTAATAATAACAGCTAACACTCACTGTATGCCAGGAGCCTAAGTATTCGCCCTAAGTCATTGTAAGTAAGTGTAATAAATGCATTTACACAGCAACACTAAGAGTTATGATAAACAATGATCAGTTATCATCTGATTTTACAGGTGAGGAAACTGAGGAATGAAAGGGTCTTGGCTCAATCAATTACGGTATGCCAATACCACAGAATATTTATTCAGTTCTTAAAAAGGATGAAGTATATTTATAATTATATCCCTGATATATTAAGTGGAAAGGGGGAATGTTACCAAGAAGCATATGAGAGAACAAATGGCACAAACCAGAAGTTCACAGAAGCAAGACCAATGGCCAGTGAACATGAAAATATGTTCCACCTGCATAATTAAATTCAAGTGCCAACAACAAGATGCCACTTTCTTTGTCAAAGAAAGACACATTTTAATGGGGAAAGATGGCAATAGTGCAGAGAGGCTATGGGGGAATTAGGCACCTTGACTGCTGCTGGAGTGAGAAGAAAGTAGTATAACTTTAACTTAGATTAATTTGGTGCTGCATATCAAATACCTTAAAAATAGACATGCCCTGGGGCGCCTGGGTGGCTTGGTTGGTTAAGTGTCCAACTCTTAGTTTCAGCTCAGGTCATGATCTCAGGGTGCTGGGATCAAGCCCCCCATCAGGCTCTGCACTCGTCAGGGAGTCTACTTCAGGTTCTCTCTCTCTCTCTCTCTCTCCCTCCCTCCCTCCCTCCCTCTATCTATCCCACCCCCCTGCACTTGTGCTATCTCTCTTTCTAACATAAATAAATAAATCTTAAAAAAAAAATAGACATGACTGTGACCAAGGTTTTCAATTAGCAATAATCGCACCTCGGATAAACCTCATTGGCTATGATACTGCCACTGCGCAAAGCCAGACTGTGACTAAGGAATTCCGCTCCTGGGCAGAGAGCCCAAGGAAATGATGGGATGTGCACACAAGAGTGCAGCGACTCATTCATATTGAGTTTCTGGGGGCCCGGCTCTGATGACACTGCAGATGACAGACAGCTGAATAAGACCTTAGACCCAGCACTGACCCCACGGGGTCATAAACTTGATGGGGGAAGACACACGGTAAACACATAAGCAAACATATGAAGATAATTTTAAGGAGGAGTAAGTGCCTTGTATAAAATAAAATAGGGTCATGGGAACAGAGACTGAAGAGGAGGTTGCTTCAAGTGGGGTAACCAGGGAGGCCCTCTCTGAGGAGGTGTCTCAGTCCGATATGTGGATGACTTCTGGAAGCATGGAGGTCTGGAAAGTTTTGCTTTGAGGATGAAACCATCACGTGAGATCTGGAGACACAGACTTGCAGGGCGAGGGTGGAAACCAGGCTGATGAGGTAAAGGGACGAAGGGGGGAGCTCCGTCACCAGAGCCTGGTCACATGGGAAGAGTGCTATTTGTATGTCCCTTGGGGCACAGTGTTTAAAGGCAAAAGCAGGGAGTGATAAATTTCTAACAATCAGAGAACACCTTTACAGTGGAAGACTCAGCAGCAGGAAACTTCAATTTTGAGGACATGTAGCTAGGAACACAGGAAGTTTAGGGGGAAAGACCAAGTTACAAAATGGTTTACATAGTACAATTTTATATTTGTTTCTTAGGAATAATCTATATGGAAACAGATATAGACAAATGTAAAGCAAAGCATTAACTACTGTTTGGTTCTGAACAGTTGAGATTATGGGTATTTTTTGGTGTTGTCTTTCTTAATTAAGGTATAATCGACATACAACATTGTATTAGTTTCAGGTGTACAATATAGTGATTTGATATTTATCTATACTGTGAAATGATCACCACCATAAGCATAGTTAACATCTGTTGCCACAGAGAGTTACAGAAATTTTTTTCTTTTGAGGTCTAGACTCTCAAATATGCAACATGGTATTATTAATTCCACCACTTATAATTAAGTCACCACTCCCCATGATTGCTGTATTTTATAACTGGAAGTCTGTTCCTTTTAACTCTATATAGTTTTTTTTATAATAAGAAAAACAACAATCTAGAAGACTTCATTTGATGGGGTGAGAAATAATGATCTATCAAATTTAAACCTGAGAAACACTTTGTAAATCAGCTATCCATCTGAGCTGCCCAGAGGGGCTGTGCAGTAAATCCTTACTACTGGCAGTATGTCTTCAATGTCAGCATTGAGTACTCCTTGCCCAATGAAAGGTTCTTGAAAGACACCACAGCTAATCACCAGGCTAACTAGCAGATTGGTCAACCCGTTCACACCCTGGTGTTTTAAGGGAGCCCACCCACAATTCAAAGATGTATCTGGCAGACACAAAGCAATCAAAGGGGCCAGGAAATTCTGCAGACATTCCAAAGGAAATATCTGGCTGACACTGTAAGAATGAAGTTCAAAGGGCTCTCGATGTGTTAGATCATCCACTGTGGAAACACAGACACTTGGCCCAGGTCAAACAGTGGCCAACCGTGAAGCCATTTCAACTCTTAATCAGAGCAGTTTAGGCACCACATGGAGACCGGGAGCCTAACTAACCTCTCTTCTGAATCCCTAACAGAAGGCCCAAAATGCTTTTATCTAAAACTCTGAAGTGGAAAAGAGCCATCTGACTGATATGAGTCCAGAAATTCTTGGTTGTTGTTTGGTTCTGATTTCATTTGCATTATTTTATTCATTCTGTATCCTAAATGGACAGCTCAAGTCCACCACAGATTTTCGGCTGAAATGTCTAATATTTCTTAGCAAAAGAAATGGATGTATGTCCCTGTCCCTGAGACTGCTCTATCTCCCTCAGCCTGTGATTTCCTACCTCCCTGTCTTCACTCATGGAGTTCCCTCTGGAACCTCATTGTGTGGAATGTTCTTATCACTTTGGGCCTGGCTGAAGGAAACCAATGACGGCAAAGTCTCCTTGAGGATACCAGCCAGAAGCACATGCTCTTCTTCCAGGATCTTCCCTTTCCTTTAGCTTCTTCTTTTTTTTTTTTTTTTTAAGATTTTATTTATTTATTTCAGATAGAGCACAAGCGAGAGATAGAGCATGAGCAATGGGAGTGGGGGGCAGAGGGAGAAGGAGAAGCAGGTTCCACGCTGAGCAGAGAGCCTGACATGGGCTCAATCCCAGGACCCTGAGACTTTGACCTGAGATGAAGGCAGATGCTTAACAGACTGAGCCACCCAGGCACCCTTTCCTTTGGCTTCTTGCATGAAACCTCTAAGATGGAGAAAACCATAGACAAAAGAAAAGAACTCAGATTTTTGGAGGCAGGTAGATTGGAGTTCAAGTCCTGGCTTTGCTACTTCCACACTGCAGTTTCCCAGAAGTCATCTTTTTCTTTTCTGGCCCTCATCAAAAAATGAAAACCATAGTAATACCTAACTCATGGGATTATTTGTAAGGATTAAAGGAGAGAAACCACAGAAAGTACTCAGCCATAATGAGATATCACTTCATAACTGCTAGGATGACTACAATCAAGAAGACAGATAAGAATGAATTTGGGTAAGGATGTGGAATTTGAACTCTTGTCCACTGCTGGCCAGATGGTATTGGGGTGCAGCTGTTTTAGAAGCAGTTTGGCAATTCCTCAAAATGATAAACACAGAGTTATCAGAGGATCTGACAATTCCAATCCTAGGTATAACCCCAAGAGAACTGAAAACATAATCTACACGAAAACTTGTTCACAATGCTGCTAACAGCATTCTTCATAATCGCCAAAAAGTGACAACCCAAATGCCCACCAACTGACAAACAGAACGTGGTACATCCAGACAGTGGGATATTTTTCAGCTGTTAGAAGGAAATGAAATACTAACACCTGCTACAACATGGATGAACCTTGACAGCATTATGTTAAATGAAAGAAGATGGTCACAAAAGGCACATATTGTATCACATCATTTACATGAAACATCCAGAAAAGGCAAATCCACAGAGTCAGAAAGCACATTGGTGGTTGCCGGGGGCTGGTGGGCAGGGAGAATTGGGGAGTGGCTGCTAATGGGTTTAAGATTTCTTTCTGGGGTAATGTAAACATTCTGGAACCAGACAGTGGTTGGTGTAGGTTGCACAACTCTGTGAAAACACTGAGAACTAGTGAACTGTTCACTTGTAAAGGATGAATTTTATGGTATGTGAATGATATTTCCATAAAGCTATGATTTTTTTTAAGCTCTTTGCCTAAGATCTGGCATGTAGTGTACACTTAAAAATTTTGAGCTCCTTATTCTTATTTCTGCTCCTTAAAATAGGATCCTATTTTATCCAGTAGGGTCTTTTTCAGAATACCCTGTCCAAGGCCCTATTGGTGGTCCACAATCAGATATTTCCTAACTGGCTGAATGAATAAGGAACAGAGTACCCAGTGAGAAAATGCTCAAAGACTAAAGCTGGCACACGAGGGGTTACACAGACACCCTTCCTCACTCTACCTGCTGCACAGCTGCTGTCGCTCCAGCAGGCATAGAGAGGACCCATTCCTGAGGCTGGACAGGGTGGAAGAAAACAAAGGCCCCTGGCGACAGTCCCAGAAATCAATGACCCTGCTTCTGCACCTGCTGATGGGGAAAGGCAGATACGAAGGGAAATCAGTTCCTGGAGACTGTAAGGCCATGAGCTGGGAAAATGGGATGTAAATGCAGGCAGGGCATTGGCTACATCAAAAAGGGAATATCCTTTCCATTCCTGGTCATCAGGAAAGATGGCTTGGGGACACAGCCCCAGATCTCCACAGATCCCAAGAGTAGCAGGTTCCCCTGTGGCTGGTTGGCACCCATGCACAGAGGCAGGTTCCTCTCCACCACAGACAATCTAGGGTAGGGCTGTAGATAACAGAACAGTGGTCAAGCACGAACCTTTGAATCAATACTACTTGGACACATGCTGGTCACTGTGAAACAAAAATCTAAATAAAAACAAATCCTGGATGGATTAAAGATTAAAGGTGAAAAGCAAAACTTGAAAACTTTTCAGAAAAAAACATTAAAAATATGTATGGTTTTAATTGAGGAAATTGTTAAAGAAATAGACACAGGCGTAGAAAAAAAATCCATAAAAGAGAACACTGATGAATTTTACTACCCTGAAATTTAAAACTTCGGTACTATAAAGGACACTCAAAACAGTAAAAAGACAAGCCTCATACTGTGAGCAATGCATAACTGGCAGTGGATTAATTTCCCAAATAAATAAAGAACTCCTACATATCAATGAGAAAAAATAATCTAAAAGAAAAAATGATATACAATATGTAGCAGCCTTGGGAGAAGATGTTCAACCTCTCTAGGAAATGTAAATTAAAAATGACAATGTTACATTGTGCAAGGCAAATCATGGGCTAAACTGTAAATATCTGACAAAAATGAGCAGGGCGCAACCTGGCACTATTGGTTTGGTGAATACATTTACTAATTTCAGTAAGGTGAAAATGACCCAGCAATCCCACCCCTAAATTGTTCCCTAGAGAAATTCTTAGAATAAAGAGATGAAGGTATTATTTGCAACACTTTTTATAATAGCAAATGATTAGAAGCAACACACATCCTTATCAACAGGAGGATGAATCAATACATCATAGTATATTCATGTGACAGATTTTGATATAGCCTTGAAAGTACATGAACTGGAGCTGTAAGGATCACCAAGGATAAATCTCAAAAACAATGCTCAGCCAAAAGAGCAGGTTGAAAAATAAGTACAGTATGAGAGTAGATTGCATATGAATATCATCTATATATAGTTTGAAAACAGGAAGAATATATAGGAATGATAAACACCAAACTCAGTAGTTACTCCGGGTAAAGACACATGGCCTGGAGGGTGTGCAGGCACCAGTAATAGTTTATCTCTCTCACTGAAAATAAACTTCATATAAACTTAGTGAAAC